ATACCAATGTAATGGAAGTATCGATGCTCCCTGGGTAGTACCGATACTACCAGTATCGATACTACTCAGTTTAGAATATTACTCCGATTATAACTATGTTCTAATATAACCTAGGTTCGCATACAGTAGAAGAGCGTAGCGAAGCCGGTGCTCGGTAGATCTGCCAGACTGATTCTTTTTGCGAGGTGTGTTCCTTGTGTGCTATATACACATATCTATTTTAAATACCTGATTGAAATACCATGTGCACATGATTGTTTTACCTGATTTGTAATATAACTAGCTGATCTGATTTAATTTCACATGATTTATCTATTTAAAGCCTAACTTCTGATTTACTGAAGTTTTAAGCCTATTTGTCTGATTCATGTTCTATGGTTACTGTTGTTATTGATTTGATATATGTTCGAACTCTGATTTCCTTGCTACTATTAGTTATTGTTTGAAATTTATTTTCTTCAGGATACTCTGGGATCTAGTATGAAGTCTTTGTAGGTTTAGCTTTCATCAAACTGGTAATTCCTTATATAGGTTTAACACTGATCAAGCTGATAATTCTTTATGGACCTAAGGCGATCATTGGGTGGGCTCCTAGGCCCAATGGGCCTAGTGGTAAGACCTTATGGACTCTAAGATAATCTTATAGAGTGACTCTACTGTTATGTGCATCAGGTAAGTCCTTATGGGCTTTAGGGCACACCCATCAGGTGGACACCTACGTTTTAGCTAGGGTAAGGCCTCATGGACCCAAGGTTCTCTGTTGAATTATGTTTCGATATAACAAATTTAAGGCAAAATGTTTTTGGACTTGAATTGAATTTATTCAAAGTTTTAAAAAGGTTTCAAAAATAATTCAAAGTCCATTAAATTCGGATTTGAGCAAAAATGCTAAAGGGTGTCAAAGTGCATCAATGCAATGTGCATCCATGCACCCTGCTGTGTATCCATCCACTCTGGCTGCAACGGCTAGTAACAGCTAGTTTATTTGAATTTAATGAAGGGGTACTGATGCACCTTGGCTATGCATCGATGAACCATGTTATGGGCAACCTATTACTGTATAAAAATCATCCCCAAACGGCTCCAAAACATCCCCAACGGCTATATACGACTTTAAACTCATTCCAACTTATAAATACATGTTCTAGACACTTGAAGAACATAAAGAACAACTATCCAAGCAATCAAACACAAGAGAAGAGTTTTTCATTCTTATTTCATTTTTCTCTTGTAAATATTTTGTTCTTGTGAGTTTAATTCTTGTAAACACCTACCTTAGAGAGGTTTTCTTGTTTACGTTTCTTATTCTTTGTAAAGGGGAAAGGTTCTAGCTAAGCCCGTGTAAAAGCTAGGGAAAGGTTCTAGTTTATCCCGTGAAAAACTAGGGAGTTGTAAAGGTTGTCTCTTTGTCCTCAAAAGAAAGAACAAATTATTGAATTTATTGGAAAATCCTTGGTGAGGAGCTAAGGTAGTGGATGTAGACTTTGGTTGAGAAAGTCGAACCACTATAAATCGTTGTGCAATTCTCTATCTTTCAATCTCCTTAGTCCATAAACACAAAAACTGTTCCGACCCCTCTTTGCAAACCGTTCCGGTTGTTGATTCGAGCTTCCGAAAATCCCAACAATTGGCATCAGAGCCTAACTTGTTAGAAGGCTTAACATCCTTGAGACGATCCTCGAACAAGCTCTACCAATTCCCGACGCAACCGACAAAGAAATGACTTTTTCCTCCGGTGCTTATTACCTTGAAGATTATCCTATTATGGATTCACAACCGGTCAACAAGCCACCCTTCTTCAATGGAGCAAATTATGAACATTGGAAGAATAAGATGATGTGCTTTATTCAATCCTACAATCTAGGAGCTTGGAACTCAATCATGGACGGCTACTTCTCTCCACCTGGTAAGTACAACGATTGGAGTAGAGAAGAACAGAAAAATTTCCAGCTTAATTATAAGGCTATACATATTCTATTATGTGCTTTAGGCCCAAATGAATATGGAAGAATCTCATCTTGTTTAAGTGCCAAAGATATTTGGGATAAGCTCCAAATCACTCATGAAGGAACTGACGAAGTGGGGGAATCAAAGAAAAGTCTTCTCAACCATAGCTACGAGAACTTCAAGATGAATCCCGATGAAGACATTAAAGCTATGACGGATAGATTTTCTGTGATTGTCAACGGTCTCAAGGGATATGGAGAAGTAATCCCTAATGAGAAGCTTGTGAGGAAGATGATCTACTCTCTTCCAAAAGAGTGGCAATCGAATAAGAAGACCATTATCGAAGTAAGAAACCTAAAGTCTCTCACTCTCGACGAGCTAATTGGTTTCCTTCTCACTCATGAGATGATGGTGAAGGAAGATGAAGAAAGGGAAGATGAAGAAAGGGAAGATGAAGAAAGGGAAGAGGAGAAAAACCAGAAGAAGATGAAGATGAAGGAGGTAGGCATTGCCTTCAAATCCACCAATGAAAGATATCAAGATTCAAGTGATGAGGTGGATGAAGACGATGATGAATAAGAAGATGAGATGGTCAAGCTCTTAAAAGAGTTAAAGAGATTAATGACTTCCAAGGAAGTAAAGCATGAATCAACCATGAAGAAGAGTCCCCCAGTGTGCTTCAATTGTCAAAGAAAGGGACATGTCAAGTATGAATGCCCTCTTCTAAAGAAAAAGGGGAAGAAGACATTTGTTGCATCATGGAGCGATGAAGATGATTCCAATGATGAAGATGAAGTAGTCAACCTATGCCTCATGGCCACTCAAGAATAATTTGAGGTATTTTCTAACTCAAATGAATTTAATTCATTTACTTTTGATGAGTTACAAGATGCTTATAATAGGTTGTATTTGGGATTTAAGACCATGAATTTCAAATATACGAAATTAATTTCAAAACTCAAAATTGAAAATAAATCGATTTTGAAAGCTAGAGTTGATTTTGAAAATCAAAATGAAATTTTGAAAAATGATTTAGAGCTTTCAAAAATCAAAATAAATGATTTAGAAAAGAAAATTTTTGAGTTAGGAGTTAAGCTTGAAAGATTAACAAAAGAAAAAGAATTAATTTCTAAAAATAACCTATTTTGTTTAAAAATGGCAAAATGCTCACATTGTCATTATCATGGTCATTTGGAACATACTTTTCCTTTGAAGAAAGGAAAACGTTAAAATTAGGCAAGTATGGGTTCCGAAAGGAACAAGGGGCATTGAAACTAATGTTCAAGGATCCAAAGCAATTTGTATACCAAAATCTACTTAAATATCTCTTGTAGGTGTGTGGGAGCAATGGTAATGAAAGTGATGATATTCAAGATGCTCTAGCCACACATGAAAAGGAATGGGTAACCTCCAAGCTTAATGTTTTTTAATTTTAGTTATGTGGTTGCTCATTTGATTTTAAGCATCCATGAGTTTTGTTTTTAAATGATTATGCATCATTGTTTTAATCTCATGTATGTTGAAAAGATGATTATGGTGAACATTTTAAAGTTATATTAATTTTTAAGAATTTTTAGTTCATCATAATAAAATTTTGGTCAAAATTGGTTTTAATGCAAATGATATCTCTCTAACAATTGATATCAAAAGTTTTTCAAATGCATAACATTTTTTTAAAACTTTATGCATATGATCTTAAATTCAACAATTAGTATTGCATAAAGTATTTTAGACTTGGATACATTGAATTTCATGTGCTACTAACATGTTTGTTATTCTTTGTTGAAATTCATTTTGTTTAAGTGTCAAGATCCTAAAAGCTTAATTTTGTTTGGAATGCATGGAGATTTGATTTTTCAAATGATTTTTAAAAGGTCAAATTTACTACTTACTCTCTAATGTGATTTTGAAGTTCAAAGATTGAATTATTTTTGATATAACAAAAAGGGGGAGAAGTTTGGTTTGAAAATTTTAATTTCTTAATGAAAAATGGAGAGCTTAACATTTTCATATATTTTCCAATACTTGGTAACAATTGATATCATTTTGTTAACAATTAGTATCTTTTTCATTAAACATTTTATTAAGGGGGTTTTGCCAAAAATAAATTTTCAAATATTTTGTTATATCAAAAGGGGGAGATTGTTGAATTATGTTTCGATATAACAAATTTAAGGCAAAATGTTTTTGGACTTGAATTGAATTTATTCAAAGTTTTAAAAAGGTTTCAAAAATAATTCAAAGTCCATTAAATTCGGATTTAAGCAAAAATGCTAAAGGGTGTCAAAGTGCATCCATGCACTGTGCATCGATGCACCCTACTGTGCATCCATGCACTCTAGCTGCAACGGCTAGTGACAACTAGTTTATTTGAATTTAATGAAGGGGTACCGATGCACCTTGGCTATGCATCGATGCACCATGTTATGGGCAACCTATTATTGTAGAAAAATCATCCCCAAATGGCTATATATGACTTTAAACTCATTCCAACTTATAAATACATGTTCAAGACACTTGAAGAACATAGAGAACAACTATCCAAGCAATCAAACACAAGAGAAGAGTTTTTCATTATTATTTTATTTTTCTCTTGTAAATATTTTGTTCTTGTGAGCTTAATTCTTGTAAACACCTATCTTACAGAGGTTTTCTTATTTATGTTTCTTATTCTTTGTAAATGGGAAAGGTTCTAGCTAAGCCCGTGTAAAAGCTAGGGAAAGGTTCTAGTTTATCCCGTGAAAAACTAGGGAGTTGTAAAGGTTATCTCTTTGTCCTCAAAAGAAAGAACAAATTAGTGAATTTGTTGGAAAATCCTTGGTGAAGAGCTAAGGTAGTGGATGTAGACTTTGGTTGAGAAAGTTAAACCACTATAAATCGTTGTGCAATTCTCTATCTTTCAATCTCCCTACTCTCTAAAAACAAAAACCGTTCTGACCCCTCTTTGCAAACCGTTCCAGTTGTCGATTCGAGCTTCCCAAAATCTCAACATTCTCCCTTAGGTTAGCACCTACGCCCTTTGGGCTTAGGGTAAGTCTTTATGGATGCAGTTTATGAGAACTGCATATGGTGTACGATTAGAGAATGAATCCGTATTTTCAAACTGAAAACTATACCGACGTTTCATGACTTTAATAATGAGCTAATTTTGGAAAACTTAACTATATGTTTTATTTCTGCACTATTAGAACACACAGAGCTCCCTAGCTCACTCCCCCAAACTCTTCCCTTTCAAATACTTTTTGGATAGGTGACTCGGACTTGACACTTGGAGGATCGACACATTCATACAATATTATTTTGTTGTAATATATTTATCTTCCGAGTTGCATTAATTTGAGTGACATTTGCCTATATTTTGAATATAATTATTTTATGACTTGTACTGCTTTGCTACTGATGTTAGATTTGTTTTTACACTGATTAGAGAATATTTTATTTTACTCAATCATTATGATCATATTTTTCTATAATTTAACTTTAATATTATCAACTATATTTTTAAAGATGTTTATTCGAAATATGATTTTAAACTATTGAAAATTGTTTTGAAAATTTTATTGTAATCTGCTAGATTTAGTCGTAACGCATAAGTTGGGTCTGGGGGTTACAGGTCGTTACCCTGAAACCCCATTGCACGTTGCTTCCATGCTTGGACATCCCATTGCACGTTGCTTCCATGCTTGGACATCTCGAATTCGTTGATGATGTTCTTACTCGTAAGCTTGAGCTAGCCAAAGAAGTCAATTCTCGAAACTCAGCGCCGCTTCACTTAGCTTCGGAATAAGGGTACCTGCAAATTGCGAAAAGGTTACTGCAGGTTGATCCTGATATTTGTCTTGTTAGTGACATTGATGGCAGGAACCCTCCTCATATTGCAGCCATGATATGTCACCTTAATTTGTTGAAAGAGTTGGTCCAAGCCACACCCTGGGCAGCTCGTGTGCTGATTGACCAAGGTGAGACCATTTTACATGCGTGCGTGAGGTGCAACCTGTTTGAGGCGTTGAAGTTGCTGGTGGAAAGAGTTTCGGATCATGAGTTATTGAGTTGTAAGAATGACGATAGTAAAACTATCTTGCAACTAGCAATAGTAGCTAAGCAAACTGAGTTAGTACTCATTGCCGATCACAATGCCCTGTTAATTCCACTTCAACCAAAGCAACCAGGTTAAGCAAAACAATTGAATTTTACTAGATCTATTTTTTGAATTTGAGACTTAAATACAGTAGATATGTCTAACTTTAATTGATATAAACAAACATATACAGGCCATAAACTTCTTGATTTCTAGTACAACGATAGGTGTGAATGAAGATGGTTTCAACTTTCAAGGCACTTGATCTTTTACCACAAAACCAAAGAGATGTGGTTGATAAGGAGATTGTGGAATCACTTCGAAGGATGGGAGGTACACATGGGCAAAATAAACCTTTGTCAAATTCTCAACTGAAGGCAATAAGGACCAAAATCTTGTTGTCAACATGGGATCACCCAAACGCAACATCAAAATCAAAGAAGAGAAAAGATGGGAAGAGGTTGATTAAAAATAAGAATGCCGATTGGGTAGAAAGAAAACGCAACATCCTAATGATGGTGGCTTCCCTGCTAGCTGCCATGGCATTCCAAGCGGGCGTCAATCCTCCTAGTGGCGTTTGGCAAGATAATGGCTCAAACGGTGAAAATCATTGTGCAGGGTATTCTGTTTTAGCAGATAAGTATCCACGATTATATGCCAGATTCGTCATGTGTAATACAACTGGTTTTCCTGCGTCTCTCAGACTCTCAGTATCATCATGTTGCTTATAAGTGGATTACCAATGCGACATCGGTTCTTTATGTGGGTTTTAATGGTCATCATATGGTTTGCCATTACTGCAATGGCATTAGCATATCTAGCATGTCTCATAGCTTGAACACACCTCATCATCAAGAATCTTCACCAATCAATATATTAGTAATTGCTACGCTGGTTTGGATCGGCTTGGTGCTCATACTCTTTCTTGGACACACGGTTCGACTCATCGTCACATTGGGAATACAAATTCTCTGCCCCCTATTTATGTCTCTTTAGAAAAAACGCACCACGTGTCCTTTTTCCAAAAAGTGGGTCCGAAGACAAAGAGTGAATGCGAAGTCCATTGAGTTTAAGTCGAGTGCTCCTCCATCAAAATTCCACTATATTGATAGTACCCACAAACTTCAAATATCTATCCAACTTTTCTCGAAGAGAACGCATGCGTGTATAGTCAATTTATTAAAGTTTCTTTGGAAGTTTATAATTAGTAAATAAAAATCACTCAATTAGCGGCTAAACTCACGTAAAAATACTCTAAAAAAATAATTCACATAATAATGCTCTCCAATGATTAATTCTTCAAATGGTGCGAATGATACAGGGGTAAGATTGGTCACCATACAGTCGGGGCAAATCTTAAAGGTCGCCATGCAGTCGGGGCGAAGCCCTTGTAGGTCGCCATGCAGTCGGGGCGACCTTATAGTGAATCTGCATGAAACGAAACAGGTGGCCCCCCTTCCCGGCGTGATTCCTTGCAGCTGATGCAGCATGATTTGCACCAATAAATTCAACACTATTACTTGCTATTTATGCATCATGATCTGCATGAAATGACAGAGGTTCCCCCTTCTCTCATGAATCAAATTAGTGTCTCCCATTACAAGAAATTCAGCAGTAATTTAACGTAAAATTTTGGCGTTATTTGCACCAATAATTAATGTAAATTGCAGGCGTGATATGGAGCGCGACAAAGGTGGTATGTGTTGGGATTAATTTATGGTTTATGGGGCGGATTTAGCAATTATATTCTTGTGATATGGAGCATTATTCATGCATGTCTACATGATTTACACGTTTTAATAGTAGTATTAAAAATAGATGAATTATTGCAGTATATTTAGGGTTTATGGGGCTGATTTAGGGTTATATATTGGTCATTAGGTTTAGGGTACGGTTATGAAGAAAGAAAGGGAGAAGAAAGAAAGGGAGAAGAGAGAAAGAAGAAGAAAGGGATAAGAAGAGACCGGGTAAAAGTTTGTTAGTTTAAATCATTAGTTTGTTAGTTTAAGTTATATTATATTAGTTTGTTTGTTAGTTTAAGTTATATATGATATTATATTATATGAAAAGTTAGTTAATTACTTTGTTAGTTTAGGGTTTAGGTTTAGGGTTATAAAAAATAATTTAATTAGTTTGTTAATGTGTTTAATCTTATATTAGTTAGTTTGTGTAAGCTGAAGTTATATTTTTTTAAAAGAATAAGTTAATTATTGCTTATTTAGTTTTATGTCACTATTAGAAAGTGGAAATGAAGTCGGAGGAATATCCGCAGCAGCAGAGTATGAGACGAGAAACATACACCATTTGGAATTGATTGTTGATATTGATGCTGAAAATCGATGGGGAGAAATTCATGATGATTCTAGCGAAGATGAAGAAACGGAAGAACCCGTTTTGGGTGATGATTATGCAATTGACTTGGCCATTGATGATGTTCCGACACCGTATGAATCTACTCCTCACATGTACGAGATAGATTATGATGCGACGTACCAAATGGCTGAATCATTCGAAAATTCTGGTGAATTTTCAGTTGGGGTGCAATTCAGAGGAAAAAATGAAGTTACGCTGGCGATTAAAGAGTATTGCATCAAATTCCATGTTGATGTCCATGTTGCACAGTCCAACCAGAAAACCCTATACGTTAAATATGTTAAATATAGCCCAGAGTGCAAGTGGAAAATCAGAGTGTCAAAAATTCAAAGGCACGATGCTTGGGTCATCACAAGGTACAATGGTCCTCACATATGTTTGCGAAACTTAATCGAACAAGACCACCGACTATTGGACTCCAATGTAATATGTGAATACGTGAAGGCGGTGGTTGAAAATGATCCAAGGATCTCTTGTTTAGTGTTAGCTGCATCTATTCGAAGCTAATTTGGATATCAAGTAAAATATGGCAAGGTGTGGAATGCGAAGATGAAGATAATAAAGCTGACGTATGGAGATTGGGATACATCGTACAATGAGCTACCACATTTGCTACAAGCAATGAAGCGATTTATCCCAGGAACCATAGTGAAGTCTCAAACCATGCCCGCATATGATGAAGAAGGTCAACTTGTGCCAGGGAAAAAATATTTCATAGACTCTTTTGGGCATTCAAGTCATGTATTGAAGGATTTCCATTTTGCAAACGTATGATCCAAGTAGATGGTACGTGGTTATGTGCTTAATATAAACATGTACTCTTGATGGCAGTTGCGCAAGATGGTGAGCGAAATATCTTCCCAATTGCATTCGCCATTGTTGAGGGAGAGACAACAGAGGCTTGGGATTTCTTTTTTTACACATCTACGTCAATATGTCGTTCGAGAAGATGGAGTTTGCTTGATATCCGATAGAGGAACATATATTTTGGCAGAAATTGAACGACCAGGAAGTCGTTGGATACCTCCGCATGCATATCCGACATTTTGTATCTGTCATATTGGTAAGAATAGTATCGACCAGTTTCATAATGCACATATTCGTAAGGAGATAGTAGGCTTGGGTAAGTTTTATTCTCAATATTTGTGCATTTTTTATATGATTTAACACAATATATTATGAAACAGGATACGAACTACGCCGATCAAATTTTGATAAGAGATTGGAGAATTTGAAGGTATTTTATGATGATCAACATGTTTGGAAGTGGGCCTCAAAAATACCGCGGGAAAAATGGTCGCAAGCATACGATGAAGGTCGACGATACGGACATATGACCACAAACCTTGCTGAGGCCATTAATTCAGTACTAAAAGGTACACGTCATATCCTAATAGCTAGTGTGGTGAAAGAGACGTACTTTAGGTTGGCTAAGGTTTGGTCCGATAAAGGCAAGGAAATTGAGAGTCTAATAAATAGAGGTCACACTTGGGCTCCTACAGTTGTGGAAGCAATGGAAGTAAATGAGCTATTGGCAACATCAATGGTTGGTCATAATTTCGATCGAGTTGGTCATACTTTTGTTGTGTCATGCATACGACGTAACGTCGGAGGAGAAGACCAGACATTTAGAGTTGATTTACGACACAAATGGTGTGATTGTGGTCGCTTTCAGGCATGGAAATATCCATGTGCTCATGCAGTCGCTGCATGTATGTATGCTGGTGTAAGCGCATACACTTATGTTGATGATTGCTTTCACCTATATATGATATTAAATGTCTACAGCTATGCGTTCAGGTAGATCCCAAATGAATCATATTGGCCCAAAAAGGATCGTGACGAATGGCTGCCAAATCCAATGCTTCGTCATTAGTAATCATATATGTATTTCTATGTATTTATATATTTGAACATCATTTTACAACTTAAAGTTTATTTTAAATTGAAATTTAAGTTGATTTAGTAATGATTAGTAATAATGAAATTATAATAATGATTTGATACTAATGATGAAATTATAATAATGATTAGTAATAATGAAATTATAATAATGATTAGTAATAATGAAATTATAATAATGATTTTATATTAATGATTTAGTAATGATTAGTAATAATGAAATTATAATAATGATTTGATACTAATACTTTAATAATGATTACTAATAATAATTTAATAATGATTAAATATATTTAAATAAAATTTATTCAATTTAAATCAAATTTAAAAATATATTTAATTTGTTCAATTTATTCAATTTAAATAAAATACTAGTCTAATTCCAATATTTAATTTGTAACAAATAACAAATGATTTTACAATTGTTGTCGATGTCGGGGTGTTGTTGAATGATAATGTCGGGGCGGACGTCTGATGCGTTATGGTCGTTGCGGTTGCTCAGGAGTATAGTACCCATCCTCCTCATTAATTGGGGGCATTTCAACTGTTGTTTGCTATTCCATTCCACTTGCAAATGTTGACTGATAAATACTGATATTTGAAATCATAGATGTCATTTGGTCAAAGTCTTGTGTCGACTCAAACATGGGAGAGTAGATGGGTGCCTCAGGCTGCCCAAACTCTGGTACGTATGTCGGGACAATAGAATCATCAAATGCTTGATGCAATGATCCTGCATCACCGAACGGTTGTGGTGCACTATTATCTACATCGGTTATTTCCGCTTCAGGTTGTTGAGATGAACTCTCACTCGGTAGAGAGTATTTAACTTTACCAAATCTTTTCTTAAACCTAAAAAATTGTCGCCTTTCTACTATTGTTGTCAAGAACGACTTTCCATTATCCCAAAAGTAATCAAGGTAAGTCGAAGTCTCAAAATTAAAGTCATCGTCTTGAATGGGGTCAAGAGTTGGCAAGAATGAAGCTCTATTGTTTCAAGCATTAATATAGGTTGTATGCTTCTCAATCTAATTCACCTTTTCTTTACGACGATCATCAAATTTGTGGAGGTGGTCATGCGTCTCAACCCAATTTACTAGACGACAACCATCTAAGTTTTGGAGGAGGTCATGATCCCATGGACTCTGTGGACTAGGTTGGTGGAAGCCGAATTGCCTCAGCACTTTATCCGCAAATAGGATCTCAACAAAAGCAAAATTAATCAATGGTGTAACAACACACCAATATTGACACCCATAAAAAACATCATGCGACACACACGCCATAATTTCTGCATATACGTATGGTCTCCAATTAAAATGTAAAATTAAAATAACAATAAACTTGATATAAATAAAATATTATAGTTAAATTAATTAATAATTAATAATAACATATTATATATACCTCTTTTTTGCCATTAATGTCAATCTTCAGCCTAAACTCTTTAATAATGTTGTGCACCAACCCCGTGCCTTCAATTTTATACCTCCATCTGTATATCAATCAAAACAAAAATATGGTCATTTTGTTCAATATTTTTAATAAAATTAAATAATTTATAATTGATATTTTATATTAAAATAAAGAATTCATATTACCTTACGGCAATTGGAAAGTCAACCGCAGTCTGACTAATCGGTGTCAAAAATGGAAGTCTATGCCAAGCCCATGATTGTAGCAGCATCAGACATCCACCGATTTCTATTGTATTATTATCATTCACGACTAATGACGCCTTGCACATCTCACAATACAAGAACGCCAATATCGCCGATACCCAGCTATATTGCTTACTATTCACAAAATTTCTTAAAAATAGAATATACTGAGTGTGAACATAATTACCGGATTTATCTGGCATCAAAATTCCCCCAATCAATTGTAATATATATGTTCGTATTGCATATATGATTTCTTGTTTCGTACTATTTAGTTGGAGCTGAAATTGATTCTTCAACCATGACAACTTGAGACGCCACCCTTTACACTCACGCCACCCTTTACACTCTGGTTTTACCGACGTTTTCCCAAGAAACGCACTACAAAGTTGTTCTACATTTTTATACTCATGCTGCAGTACCACCGACATCCCATTTGTTTGTATCCCGAGTTGCATTGCCACATCCGCCAGAGTTATCGTACATTCTCCACACATCAAATGAAATGTGTGTGTTTATGGTCTCCAACGTTCAATCAACACACTGATCAAACCTGGGACCAACTTGTATTCTTGCAGAAATGTTACATAGTAAAATCTAGCCTGTTGCAAGTTTTCTTCTATCAATCGGTGTGGCTTGGGCGGAATATTTAACCGATGACGAAGGACTCGCTGCTCGTCCTCCTGCAATTAAATAATTCAAAATTTTTATCACAATCATAAATTAATATGCATGCAGTAATAATAAAAATTCATTAAACAAATATTTATTTTACTAAATAAGAATAACACCATTATTCCCAAATGAGTAGAAATATGATCATTGTCAAGTCTCAGCAGTGGAATTTGGTCAGTCATTCCAATGAATCTGTAAAAATAAATTAAACAACATTTAAAAAACCATTTAATATAATATAATGTTAACTAACTAATTTACACTACACAAGAACAAACAATAACAAATTATAACTTAAACAAATAAACTATTTTTTATTATAATCAAAATTAACTTAAACTAAAAAACTAATTAACTAGTTTTTTCATATAATATAACACCAACAAACTAATATAAATTAAACTATAACTATATTTTAATATAATAACGATATATAATAAACCATGGTATATTAATTTAATATGATTCAACAAATAAATTAAATATAATTCTTCAACATTAATCTAACTTTAACTAACAAAGTAATTAACTAATTTTTGTTGTTGTATAATATAACTAACCTAAACTATGTCCACTAACTAACTAATAATTTAAACTAATTCAAATTATGCTCGGTTACCTTTCTTTCCTTCACCTTTCTTTTTTCTTCCTTTCCTTCACCCTTCTTTCTTCTTCTTACAACCGAACAGTCCCCTAACATCGAATATATAGCAACAACTCTATTGACATTCCCTAAACTCGCCAGTGAGTTATTGCACCACTAATTTGAATGAACAATAATTATTGCTCACCATGGTCCACCCGAATTATTGCTTCACTTTGCGTGAATTATTGCTCACTTTGCAGCACAAATCATGCTACAATTTACGTGAATTATTGTTGCAATTCACGCCTTTAATATACGCTAAATTATTGCTGCATGCTTGAGGGAGACAAGGCCACCTTTATCGTGATTTCAACTGAAGCACGAAGGAGTTCGAGCCGCTTGTATGGCAACCTACAAGGTCGCCCCGACTACATGGCGACCTATGAGCTCGCTTGATCTCCATAACGACCAATTCAGGCGCTGTATTATTCACACCAGTTGAGCAATTAATTATTGTACATCATTATCACGTGAAATATTCTTTTCAAAGCATTTTTACGTGACTTTTGCCCTCAATTAGCTTATTTGATGAATTTCCAATATAAATTATTATTTAATATAGATATCTTTACTCTGGAGTAGGAATGAAATAACATTATATGTTTTGTTTTGTTTATTTTCTTTTTATTTTTAAATATTAATTAAAAACACAACATTTTTTTAATTTCATTGTGGAGTTTTTTTGAATTGAAAATGAAAGTTAATTTTATAAAATAAATAAGAAATATAAAAAAATTAAAGTAAATTAATCATGTTAACTAATCACCCCTTTACAATCATTACAATACAAAAACTAACTACTAAGGAGTCAAATAGGATCATACAATAGGATAAGATTAAAAACTCAACCAAATAATTTGAAAAAAAATAAATGATACAAACAAATAAATTACAATACAAAAACTAACTACTAAGGAGTCAAATAGGATCATACAATAGGATAAGATTAAAAACTCAACCAAATAATTTGAAAAAAATTAAATGATACAAACAAATATTTTTATTGACAACAAAAGATAAATACAATCAACACAATATAAAAATGCATATAATAATGATGACACATTCATAAATTGATCTTATCATTACTCAATCATAATATATTTTGATGATTGTAAACGTCTATTGATAAAAAAGAAAAAAATCTAAGAGTTCAAAGTAAAAATAAATCAAATAAAATATTCAAATAAACATCAATTTTAAGACAATAATAAATAAATCAATAAAATTTTCAGATTAGTAAGAAATTCGACTTCAACTCGTCCTATAATCATCCCTTATTGCGACAAAAAAGTATTTAAAAATTTCACGGATGAACTCTAGTAACAAGCAACAATACTGTAGCAATTCATTATTGTTGAAAAGTAACCATTGGTGGCTGGTGGGGCAGGATGAAGTCCATTTAGAATGTGCAGGCATAGCATGCGATGGAGAAAAAACAATTGACATAACTTTAAAAAATATCATTAAACTCATAAGTGATTTTAACATTATTTTTACTCTGAATTTTACAAAAAGTGTGAGTTGTTTTTCCATTGAAAAAAGAAATAGGAAATAATAATATTAATATTTAAACTTTAATAAATGGATTAGAAAGAGGCATACCAATATAAAAGGGAGAATTCCAATGGCAATGATGCAGGTGTGGAAAATGGAGAAAAGGCTTTATGACGCAGCTGTGGAAGGCAGCAAGATTTCGTTGTTGAATTTGCTTCACGAGGATGCACTTCTTCTTGACAGGTTCATCACTGGCCGTGTAACATCCTCCATGCCGGGTTAGTGATTAATTTGTAAAGTTTCAACATTTGGTGATTAAAGTAGAATAATTATATAGTTTAAAAATAATGGTTAGTAAATATGAAATGTATGTAAGGACAAAATGGTCATTTGTAAGGAAAAATTATAATTAAAAAAATGTTATGGGGTTATATTAGAACCCACATGGGGTTTGTGGAGGAAACAAATGTTTCCAGAATCCTCTCATTTCTTTTTCCTTCTTTCTTATCTTCTTCTCTTCCTTCTCCAAACGTGAAGCTTGCAAGTAAAGGTAAGAATCTGAACCTTGGTAGTTTCTTTGATTTTTAGATTGGAAATGGAAGTTTGGATGTTATATAAGCTAAAGGAAAGCTTATATGACATTAAGACAACAAGATAAGTGTTTTAGAGATAGATTTGGAAAATGAATTTTTAGATGAAATTTTGAGATGGATGAGTTTTTGAAGTTTGAATAAGATTTTTGACTTGTCAATAAGTTAATTAAGAAGTATGAGGTAATAGAATTGAAATTAGAACAAGTTGGAATTTGAGTAAGATTCTTCAATTCTATATGGATGATTAGTTTTTTTTTTAGTTTAGAGGTATTGAATGGATAATAATTAGTTTAAGTAAGTGTATGAAAGCTAAGAGTAGTAAAGAGAGTGAAATATGTATGTTTGAGCTGAAATGAGATGATTTCCGAGCTCAAAATAGGATTTTTGGGCTAGGGGAATCGGTACCCATTCAAGGGGAACCGATACCCCCTCAACGAATATGAATTTCCAGAATGCTAGAGGGGAATCGATACCCCCAGGGGGGGAACCGATTCCCCCATGAGAAAAAAAAAAGAAAAGAAAGAAAGACTAAGCTATTAATTCCTTAAATTAGTAAGCTATTAAAGCTTAATTTCAAGACATAGACATCTGATAATCATCTTGGAAATTATGTTTATGTAGATACCGAGCCTACACGAGTTCGGGAACAATCTACAAGTAGGATCGATCGAGGAAAAGGCAAAGAAATATAGGTGAGTGCATATGCATAGCATAATTATAGAAATATACTCCATTCTAGACTTGTGATAAGTCTAGATTTTATATCTTGGTACATGAGCATATTCTGTATTATGAGACATGACATGAGTTCATATAAAATGCATTATATGACATGACTATGTGGGAAAAGTTATGAGCTATGTGAAAAGGTAAGAATTTACATGTCTACGCGATATAGACTACGTGAAATGTAAAAGCCCATGTTATGTAGATGAGAACTATAGGTATAGTTGGCATGCCAAGGGTAGAGGGTCTACGCGGTCCTTCGGGACATATGTATATTCTTTGGAACATGTGTGAAGTCTTGAAAGACACATACTTGATCCTTAGTATATGTATATGATTCTTAAGGAATTCTATGTGGTCCTTATGGACATCATTATATGGCACTACGGTGCAATTCTACGCGGTCCTTCGGGATATATATATATTATGTGGAACATGTGTGAAGTCTTGGAAAGACACATACTTGATCCCTAGTATATGTATATGATTCTTAAGGAATTATATGTGGTCCTTATGGACATCATTATATGGCACTACGGTGCAATTCTACGCGGCACTTCGGTGCATTTATACGAGCTGTGGTGACAGCATAGTGCACAACCTCACATTACTCAGATACCTTAGGTTCTCAATATGCTATCATGGGCCAATAAACTTATTAATACAAATTCATGAATGCTAAAGTAATATGCTTACAGGTATGGATATTGATGATGTAGACTACATGGATTAAGTACATGTTTGTATCTCATTTCATATCATTATGACATGGTCATTACATTGCTTTGTTATTATTATTACATTGCCTCACTAAGTCGATGACTTAGCGTGTGAGTGTTTCACACGTAGGATCCGAGAAAGTAGACGAGACAGGTTAAGCAGCTTGACAGCACTACTCCTGCAACCACCAGATCAGAAGCAACTTAATCAGTAGGTCATTTTGTTATGTAAATGGCAGTTGGCATGTAATTAAAGGGTTAAGTTGTGTATGCTCTGAATATTTAGTAAACTTATATTACAATATGTATATTATCGTATTTTCTTAATATAAGTTCAAATATTTTACTATTATTTGTTAAGAGTTGTGTTTTAAAGTCAATGTAGTATCTCTGACTCATATCCGGGTCGGGTACGGGTTGGGGGTGTTACATTTAATGGTATCAGAGCTATGGTTTAGCCGATTCTAGGCATAAACCAGAGTCTATAGAGTCTTTAAATGGAATACATGCCAACAAATAGTGAGAACTTCTGATCTGGTATAGTATGAGTATGCTGTTTTGCTAATAGAACAATGTGTTTATTCTTATTAGATGTCCAGACATAATAGCTCCCGAAGTGAAGCGGGAGAAGATAGGCATGCTGAAAGCAGTAATTCACCTGCCCTGGCTAGGCAAGGTAAAGAACATGCATCTCAAGGAGTGCCTGTGCAAGATCAAGATACGTTCTTCAGAACGTTAGACGCTATTCTGACGCGTCTTCAACCTTCTGCTCCACTAACTCAAAGAATTAATGTAGCAAAAGAGTTGAGAGGTTTAGGAGCTCCCGAATTTAAGGGAGAATCTGAGGAAGGTCCAGTGTCAGCGGATCTTTGGTTGAATGATTTGAAAATCATGTTAGATGGTCTCCACTGTTCCGAAGTGGAGAAATTAGATGGAGCTGTGTCTTTATTGAGGGGTCAGGCGAGGATATGGTGGACGAACGTCACCATGAGGATGTCAACCGACCAGTTGACTTGGTCTTTGTTTTTAGAAGAATTTAAAAACAAGTATATTGGAGATCAGTTTATCCGACAAATGAAGCAGGAGTTTATGAATTTGAAGCAGATGAGCCGCTCTGTATATGAGTACAAATGTGAGTTTAATAAGCTGAGCAGGTTTGCAGCTGAGCTTGTGCCTACTGAAAAATATGCTTGCGAATGGTTCGTGGAGGGCTTGCACCCTAGACTTAAAGAAATGTTGATAGTATTAAACTTGTCCTCGTTCCAGGAGGTGATCAATCGTGCAAAAGCTCTTGAAAGGGCTCAGAATGAAAGATTCGGGGACTCAAGAGTTCAGACATCAAAGAGGACGACTACTTCTTCTAGCTCAGTACCAACAAAAAGAGGGGAAGAGACTCGGGATTTCGATCACAAACTAGATCAGAATCAGTTGCATCGTCTGCTAGGGGAGCAAGTCAGGCAAGACCTAGACAGACGCAATCAGTGGAATCTGGTGCTGGGAGATCTACTCCGAGTCAAGGGAGACAGTGTCAGCACTGTGGGAAAAACCATTATGGGGCTTATCGGATGGCTGCTGGGACTTGTTTTCGATGCGGAGATGCCGGACATTTTATCTGGGATTGTCCATTGATTGTTGGTGAGCCTGCACCATCTGGAAGAGTTGGTTCTTCCTCACAAAGAGGACGAGGGAAGAGGCAGAGGAAGGAACCCGTCTGAATTCTCTGCTCAACCTGAAGTTCGATCCACTGCTCGGGTATACAATCTAAAGACAAGTGAAGACCGTGATGACCCTGATATTATAGCAGGTACTTTTCAGTTGTATGATAAATTAGTATTGGTGCTGATTGATCCGGGTTCTAATTATTCTTATATTACAAGTAAGTTAGTAAAGGAGTTGAGGATTCCTATAGAAGCTACGAGTAATGTGATGATAGTAACTAATCCGTTAAGGCATAGTACTCAGGTGGACAAAGTCTGTAAGGGGTGTCCCATAAAGGTTCAGGGAATTGAATTCCCTGCTAATCTGATGGAATTACCCTTTGACGAATTTGAAGTGATTTTGGGAATGGATTGGTTGTTTCATTATTATGGGAATGTCGACTGTAGATTGAAAAAGGTAACCCTGAAGAGTCCAGAAGGAATAGAAGTTAATGTGATCAGTGAAATGAGTAATCCTTTAGCAAATGTAATATCAGTGATGTCTGCCAAGAAATTATTGCTACAAGGATGTCAGGGTTTTCTTGCAAATTTGATGGATTCAAGAGCTCGAGAGAAAAGGTTAGAGGAAATTCCAATAGTTCGAGAGTTCCCTGATGTTTTTCTTGCTGAACTGCCAGGATTACCTCCGGATAGAGAGGTAGAATTTCAAATCGAAGTAATGCCAGGAACCGCTCCAATTGCAATGGCACCTTATCGGATGGCTCCGAAGGAATTGCAAGAGTTAAAGAATCAATTGCGAGATTTGTTAGAAAAAGGATTTATTCGACCAAGTGTGTCACCTTGGGGAGCTCCGGTGTTATTTGTTAAGAAGAATGATGGATCAATGCGTCTCTGTATTGATTATCGACAGCTTAATAAGGTGACCATCAAGAACAAGTATCCCCTTCCGCACATTGATGACTTGTTTGATCAACTAAAAGGAGCTTCGGTATTTTCGAAGATCGATCTACGTTCAGGTTATCATCAATTGAAGATCCAGGAGAAAGATATTCCGAAGACAGCTTTCAGAACGAGATATGGTCATTATGAATTCATCGTAATGACATTCGGAGTAACGAATGCACCTGCTGCTTTCATGGATCTCATGAACAGGATTTTTCAGCCCTATCTGGACCAGTTTGTTGTTGTCTTTATTGATGACATACTGGTTTACTCGAAGTCCATTGAAGAGCACAGCACACATTTGAGGCTAGTTTTGCAAATTCTCAGGGATAAAAATCTCTATGCGAAATTGTCTAAATGTGAATTTTGGCTAGACGAAGTAATTTTCTTAGGGCATGTGATCTCGGCAGTTGGGATTAGAGTAGACCCTCAGAAGGTTAAAGCTATAATGGATTGGGAAGTTCCTAAGAATGTGTCTGAAGTTCGGAGTTTTCTTGGACTTACCGGTTACTATCGAAGATTCGTTAAGAATTTTTCGATGATTGTGCTGCCTCTAACAAAGCTAATGAGAAAGAACGTACCATTTGTTTGGACTTCTGAATGTCAAGAAAGTTTCGAAGCTTTAAAGAGAATTCTGACGGAAACTCCGATATTGGTTCAACCGGAATCTGGCAAGAATTTTGTAGTATACAGTGACGCATCCCATAACGAGTTGGGGTGTGTATTAATGCAAGAAGGAAAAGTGGTAGCGTACGCATCGAGACAGTTGAAACCACATGAAAGGAATTACCCCACTCATGATTTAGAAATGGCTGCTGTAGTATTCGCTCTCAGGATTTGGCGTCATTATCTTTATGGGGAGAGTTGTTACTTATATACTGATCATAAGAGCCTGAAGTACCTGATGACTCAAAAAGAATTGAATTTGAGACAACGTAGATGGGTAGAGTTCTTAAAGGATTATGATGTGATAATTGACTATCATCCCGGAAAGGCTAATGTGGTAGCAGATGCTCTGAGTAGAAAGACGTTTGCAGCTTTACGAGCTATGGATGCAAGATTATCTTTAACGGGAGACGGTGGTCTTTGTGCAGAATTAACCCTTAAACCAGCATGGTTGGAACGAATAGGAGAATTGCAAAGTAAAGATGAAATGTGTTTGAAAAGAATTGAACAAGTAAAGAACAAAGAAATTAAAGACTTTGAGATTAAGTCAGATGGAAATCTATATTGTAAAAGAAGAATTGTAATACCCGACAATGACGACTTGAAGAAAGAAATTTTATCAGAGGCTCATTACAGTCCGTTAACGATGCACCCGGGTGGAACCAAGATGTATATGGATTTGAAGGATCGATTTTGGTGGTCAGGGATGAAGCGAAGCATCACCGAATTTGTGTCTAAGTGTTTGATATGTCAACAAGTCAAAGCCGAGCATCAAGTTCCATCAGGATTATTGCAACCGCTTTTCATTCCTCAATGGAAATAGGAAAATATTACATGGATTTTGTTTCGGGGTTACCCTTGACTCCGAACAAAAGAGAATCAATCTGGGTAATTGTTGATCGATTAACTAAGTCAGCGCATTTCCTTCCGGTTAGAACGGATTTCTCTATGGAAAAGTATGCAGAGCTGTATATTAGAGAAGTTATTAGATTGCATGGAGTACCCGTTTCCATAGTCTCTGATCGAGACCCTCGATTCACTTCTAGATTCTGGAAATCTTTGCATGAAGCATTGGGAACTCGTTTAAACTTTAGTACGGCTTTTCATCCTCAGACTGATGGGCAATCAGAGAGAACTATTCAGATATTGGAAGATATGTTGAGAGCATGCGTAATGGAATTTAAAGGATCATGGGAAAAGTATTTGCCGCTGGCAGAGTTCGCTTACAACAATAGTTATCAGTCTAGTATAAAGATGGCTCCCTATGAAGCTCTTTATGGAAGGAAATGTCGTACGCCTTTGAACTGGTACGAGCTTAAAGATAAAGAAGTGCTTGGTCCTAAGTTGATTCAAGAAGTAGAAGAAAAGGTCCTGATAATTCAGAGTAATCTCAAAGCTGCAGCAGACAGACAGAAATCATATGCAGATCTAAAAAGGAAAGAAATTGAATTTCAAGTTGGAGATAAAGTGTTTTTAAAAGTGTCCCCATGGAAGAAGGTGTTGAGATTTGGTCGAAAAGGAAAATTGAGTCCTCGGTTTATTGGACCATATGAGATTGTAAAGAGAGTAGGACCGGTAGCATATCAGCTAGCTTTACCACCTGAGATGGAAAAGATACATGATGTCTTTCACGTTTCAATGCTTCAAAGATATCGATCGGATCCCTCCCATATCATAAATCCAGAAGAGATCGAGGTACAACCGGATATGACTTATGAGGAAGAACCGATTCAAATTTTAGCTCATGAGGTTAAGCAATTGAGGAACAAGACTATTCCTTTGGTCAAAGTGTTGTGGAGAAACCACAAAGTAGAAGAAGCAACGTGGGAGCGTGAGGAGGATATGAGGAATCAGTATCCCTATCTCTTTTCTTATTGAAAATTCGAGGACGAATTTTCTTAAGGGAGGGAGATTTGTAACATCCTCCATTCCGGGTTAGTGATTAATTTGCAAAGTTTCAACATTTGGTGATTAAAGTAGAATAATTATATAGTTTAAAAATAATGGTTAGTAAATATGAAATGTATGTAAGGACAAAATGGTCATTTGTAAGGAAAAATTATAATTAAAAAAATGTTATGGGGTTATATTAGAACCCACGTGGGGTTTGTGGAGGAAACAAATGTTTCCAGAATCCTCTTATTTCTTCTTCCTTCTTTCTTATCTTCTTCTCTTCCTTCTCCAAACGTGAAGCTTGCAAGTAAAGGTAAGAATCTGAACCTTGGTAGTTTCTTTGATTTTTAGATTGGAAATGGAAGTTTGGATGTTATATAAGCTAAAGGAAAGCTTATATGACATTAAGACAACAAGATAAGTGTTTTAGAGATAGATTTGGAAAATGAGTTTTTAGATGAAATTTTGAGATGGATGAGTTTTTGAAGTTTGAATAAGATTTTTGACTTGTCAATAAGTTAATTAAGAAGTATGAGGTAATAGAATTGAAATTAGAACAAGTTGGAATTTGAGTAAGATTCTTCAATTCTATATGGATGATTAGTTTTTTTTTAGTTTAGAGGTATTGAATGGATAATAATTAGTTTAAGTAAGTGTATGAAAGCTAAGAGTAGTAAAGAGAGTGAAATATGTATGTTTGAGCTGAAATGAGATGATTTCCGAGCTCAAAATAGGATTTTTGGGCTAGGGGAATCGGTACCCATTCAAGGGGAACCGATACCCCCTCAACGAATATGAATTTCCAGAATGCTAGAGGGGAATCGATACCCCCAGGGGGGAACCGATTCCCCCATGAGAAAAAAAAGAAAGAAAAGAAAGAAAGACTAAGCTATTAATTCCTTAAATTAGTAAGCTATTAAAGCTTAATTTCAAGACATAGACATCTGATAATCATCTTGGAAATTATGTTTATGTAGATACCGAGCCTACACGAGTTCGGGAACAATCTACAAGTAGGATCGATCGAGGAAAAGGCAAAGAAATATAGGTGAGTGCATATGCATAGCATAATTATAGAAATATACTCCATTCTAGACTTGTGATAAGTCTAGATTTTATATCTTGGTACATGAGCATATTCTGTATTATGAGACATGACATGAGTTCATATAAAATGCATTATATGACATGACTATGTGGGAAAAGTTATGAGCTATGTGAAAAGGTAAGAATTTACATGTCTACGCGATATAGACTACGTGAAATGTAAAAGCCCATGTTATGTAGATGAGAACTATAGGTATAGTTGGCATGCCAAGGGTAGAGGGTCTACGCGGTCCTTCGGGACATATGTATATTCTTTGAAACATGTGTGAAGTCTTGAAAGACACATACTTGATCCTTAGTATATGTATATGATTCTTAAGGAATTCTATGTGGTCCTTATGGACATCATTATATGGCACTACGGTGCAATTCTACGCGGTCCTTCGGGATATATATATATTATGTGAAACATGTGTGAAGTCTTGGAAAGACACATACTTGATCCCTAGTATATGTATATGATTCTTAAGGAATTATATGTGGTCCTTATGGACATCATTATATGGCACTACGGTGCAATTCTACGCGGCACTTCGGTGCATTTATACGAGCTGTGGTGACAGCATAGTGCACAACCTCACATTACTCAGATACCTTAGGTTCTCAATATGCTATCATGGGCCAATAAACTTATTAATACAAATTCATGAATGCTAAAGTAATATGCTTACAGGTATGGATATTGATGATGTAGACTACATGGATTAAGTACATGTTTGTATCTCATTTCATATCATTATGACATGGTCATTACATTGCTTTGTTATTATTATTACATTGCCTCACTAAGTCGATGACTTAGCGTGTGAGTGTTTCACACGTAGGATCCGAGAAAGTAGACGAGACAGGTTAAGCAGCTTGACAGCATTACTCCTGCAACCACCAGATCAGAAGCAACTTAATCAGTAGGTCATTTTGTTATGTAAATGGCAGTTGGCATGTAATTAAAGGGTTAAGTTGTGTATGCTCTGAATATTTAGTAAACTTATATTACAATATGTATATTATCGTATTTTCTTAATATAAGTTCAAATATTTTACTATTATTTGTTAAGAGTTGTGTTTTAAAGTCAATGTAGTATCTCTGACTCATATCCGGGTCGGGTACGAGTTGGGGGTGTTACAGGCCGTTACCCTGAAACACCTTTACACGTTGCTTCCATGCTTGGCCATCTCGAATTCGTCGATGAAATTCTTACTCATAAGCCTGAGCTAGCCAAAGAACTCGATTCCCGCAAGTCATCGCCGCTTCACTTAGCTGCAGCAAAAGGGAACCTGCAAGTTGCAAAAAACTTACTGCAGGTTAACCTTGATATGTGTCATGTTTGTGATGTTGATGGCAGGAACCCTATTCATATTGCAGCCATGAAAGGCCTCCTTGGTTTGTTGAGAGAGCTAGTTGATGCCAGACCTTGGGCAGCTCGAGTGCTAATGGAGCAAGGTGAGACCATTTTACATGCATGCGTGAGGTGCAACCAGTTGGATCTTGGATGCATTGCGATTGTTGGTGGAAAGAGTTTCGGATCATGAGTTTGTGAATCGTCAAAACTATAGTGAAATAGTTACTAAGCAGAGGTGTGTAGTAATGCACTCTAGCCCACAGATCTTTTTAATTTTTTAATCTTTAAAGTAATACATTAACGGAGAAATTATTAATAAAAACATATATACAGGCCATAAACGTCTTGATCTCTAGGACCACGTGTCCTTTTTCCACAGTGGGTCCGAAGACAACGAGTGAATGCGAAGTCCATTGAGTTTAAGTCGAGTGCTCCTCCATCAAAATTCCACTATGTTGATTGTACACACAAACTTCAAATATCTATCCAACTTTTCTCGAAGACAACGCATGCGTGTATAGTCAATTTATTAAAGTTTCTTTGGAAGTTTATAATTAGTAAATAAAAATCACTCAATTAGCTTATTTGATGAATTTTCAATATAAATTATTATTTAATATATTTGTGGTGGATATCTTTACTCTAGAGTAGGAATGAAATAACATTATATGTTTTGTTTTGTTTTGTTTTGCTTCTTTTTCTTTTTCTTTTTAAATATTAATTAAAAACAACAATTTTTAAATTCATTGTGGAGTGTTTTGAATGGACAATGAAATTTAATTTTATAAAATAAAGAAGAAATATAAAAAAATTATTAAAATCTCTACAAAAATTTAAACAAATTAATCATGTTAATAATCACCCCTTTACAATCATTACAATACAAAAACTAGCCACTAAGAAGTGAAATAAAATCATACAATGATAGGTGTCCACACCGATTTTTGGTGATATAACGGGAAAAACTTGTACCGACGTATCTCAACTTATTTGTAAAAAATCTATGTTGTGAAAAAATATTTTAGAGTCGTCATCAAGCTTTTAAGTTAGGTAAGTCGAATACTTAAAAATTATCTTTTAAAATAGTTTTAAAGAAAACATCATTTTAAAAAATAAACAAGTCTATGCAACCAAAAATTCATTCTTTTATATTTTGTAATAAAAAAAAAGATTCAAAGTCAATTACGAGTAGGAAAAGACAAGCACCCTATAACGCCCAAAATTGATATCCGATTATAAATTATCTCTAATAGTAAAAATATAATAATTCAAATATAAATTTAAGTTAAAATCCTATTATTTTAAATTCAACCATACAATTTTTATTTAATGAAAAATTCTAAGGAGAAATAGAAAATATTTCAATATTTCCAATCAAAGAGAAAATAATCCCTAAAATAATTTAGAACGAATATTTCTCTTCTCAACTGAAAATAAAAGAATATAATAATTTCTCTCAATAACTTGATATTAAAAGAATAAATGTTAGTGTTAATTAAAAAAAACGTAAATCAGTGATTAAATAAAAATGAACGCAAAACAGTGGGTCCAAATCAAAAAAATAAAAAGAACAAATCATCTAGTGACCAAAATCGAAAAACAGGGCAAAGATAGGGGGATCTGAGCATGATTTTCCCTAATTTTAGTGACTAGAATGCAAAGAGATATTAAACTACAAGGGACCTAAAGGAAATTAGATCCAAAACTAGTGACAAGATTGTAAATACACGCTAGAAATACGGGGACTAAAACGTAATTAACCCCCAACACGGTAACAAAATCGTAAAATTCACTAAAAAAAGTGGACCTAACGCATGATTTACCCAAAACTCAAAATAATCTAAATATCCTAATATATTAAATTAAAAAAAATTAAAATCTAAACGTATAAACTAAACCCACGACCCTCCTCTTTTTTACTCTCTTCTTCTCACGCAGCTGCCGCCGCTCATCAAGAAGGCTCAAGGCCTTAATGCCGCCGGCCACCAAAGTGGTGGCCGGTTACCGCTCCTTCTGGCATCCAAACCAAGGGGAGGCCGAAAAGGCAACCCAAATCGAACCGAGCGGCCACTCCCACCCTCAGCTCTCTTCTACTCTTCCTTAGCCGAAAAGGGAACCCAACACCGCCATAAATCGGCGGCTCCTCTCACTCCGGCCACTACCGTAACGAGCCAAATCCCGGTGAGACCTCAAAATCGAAGGTAAGGGTTGACAACAAAGGTAAAACTACCTCCCTTCCCTCCTATTTCTCTTTGCTTCGAAAAAAGACTCAAGAAAGAAAAATAATAGTTGCTAAAAAATGAATACCCTTTGAATATTTGTTGCATTGATTTGGCTTCCCTTTGAAATGAGGGAGAAGAAGATTACAAAAAATATTTCTTTCTAGAGAAAGAATCGGCCAGCTCCCCCCAGAGAGCTTTTCCATTTTTGCTTGGGTTTTATCAGCAGTTGGGAGGGTCGGCAGGGCATGGTGGTGGCGTGTGGCAGGAGCTGGCAGGGTATGGGAGGGTTGGTAGTCTGGTGGTAGCAGGGCATGACTAATGAATTTTTATTCGGATAAAATTGGTGATTATAATAGAATTAAAAACTCAATTAAATGATACAAACAAATATTATTATCGAAGATAAATGATAAACACAATCAATATTATCATAAAATATATATAACAATGATGATATCATAATTCAATTAAATGTATATAACAATGATGATATCATAATTTAATTATAATATATTTTTAATGATAAAATAGAATCAATCTAAGGGTTTAATGTAAAAATAAATCAAATAAACATCAATTTAAAAATAAATAATAAATGAATCAATATAATTGTCAGATTAGCAAGAAATTCGACTTCAACTCGTCCTATAATCATCCCTTATTGCGACAAAAAAATATTTAAAAATTACACGGATGTACTCTAGCAACCAGCAACAATACTGTAGCAATTCATTATAGTTGAAAAGTAACCATTGGTGGCTGGTGGGGCAGGAGGAAGTCCATCCAGAATGTGCAGGGATAGCATGCGATGGAGAAAAAACAATTGACATAACTTTAAAAAATATCATTAAACTCATAAGTGATTTTAACATTATTTTTACTCTGAATTTAACAAAAAGTCTTGAGTTTTTTTTTTTTTTGCATTGGGAAAAGAATAGGAAATAATATTAATATTTAAACTTTAATAAATGGATTAGAAAGAGGCATATCAATATAAAAAGGGAGCATTCCATGTTTGTGAAAGGCAACGATGCAGGTGTGGAAAATGGAGAAAAGGCTTTATGACGCAGCTGTGGAAGGCAACAAGATTTCGTTGTTGAATTTGCTTCAAGAGGATGCACTTCTTCTTGACAGGTTCATCACTGGCCGTTACCCTGAAACACCTTTACACGTTGCTTCCATGCTTGGCCATCTCGAATTCGTCGATGAAATTCTTACTCATAAGCCTGAGCTAGCCAAAGAACTCGATTCCCGCAAGTCATCGCCGCTTCACTTAGCTGCTGCAAAAGGGAACCTGCAAGTTGCGAAAAGCTTACTGAAGGTTAACCCTGATATGTGTCTTGTTTGTGATGTTGATGGCAGGAACCCTATTCATATTGCAGCCATGAAAGGTCACCTTGGTTTGTTGAGAGAGCTAGTTGATGCCAGACCTTGGGCAGCTCGAGTGCTAATGGAGCAAGGTGAGACCATTTTACATGCATGCGTGAGGTGCAACCAGTTGGACGCATTGCGATTGTTGGTGGAAAGAGTTTCGGATCATGAGTTCTTGAATTCTAAGAATGACGACGGTAACACCATCTTCCATCTGGCAATAGCTGCTAAACAAACCCAGGTGTGCACTGATCCTCGTGCAGTGAACCTTTTTAATTGTTTTTTATCCTTGAAGTTTTGAATGAATCTCCAAAGTAATATATTAATGGAAATATTATTGCTAACCACTTGTATGCAGACCATAAACTTTCTAATTTCTAGAACAACAGTTGACGTGAATTGTGAGAATGAAGATGGTTTCACAGCACTTGATCTGTTATCACAAAACCAAAGAGAGATGAAGGAGGTTGTGGAGTCACTTCAAAGGATGGGAGCTACTCGTGCAAAAGACAAGCCTTTGTCAAATCGTGAACTTAAGGCAACAAGAACCAATATTTTATTGTCCACGTGGGATCAATCAAATGAGATATCGAAACCTAAGAGAAGGAAAAATGGGAAGAGGTTTGTTAATAAAACTTGGGTGGAAAAACAATATAAGACCCTGATGCTGGTGGCTTCCTTGCTAGCGACCATGGCATTCCAAGCTGGAATCAATGCTCCTAGTGGTGTTTGGCAAGAAGATTCCAAAAGTAACAGTTCAGACACAAACGTAAGAAATCATACTGCAGGACGGTCCATATTGGCAGATAAAAATCAAGACATATATACCTACTTCCTCAAAGCTAATACAACAGGTTTCGTGGCATCTCTAAGCGTCATCTTGCTGCTTATAAGTGGATTACCATTGAAGAATAAATTCTTTATGTGGGTTTTAATGATCGCCATGTGGGTTGCCGTTACTGCAATGGCATTTGCATATCTACAATCTCTCATCGCTTTAACTCCTGATCATGCACAATCTAAGATAGTAATTAGTATAATAGAAAGAAGTCTGTATGTTTGGATCGTCTTGGTGCTCCTACTTTTTCTTGGACACACAATTCGAATGCTAATCAGATTGATTAAGACTCTTCGAAAATTATTGATCAGATTGAAACATGCCATCTCCGCACCTCGCGGCAGCGCTTAAAGCCATCAACATACAATCATTCCACAAACTGCGGTGGAAAAAAAGACAAATTTTTCAGCTGGCTTGGCTTCTGGTTTAGTTATGCATAAGCTTAATGTATTAGATGTATGATATCATAATAAATAAATAAAATTCATAGTTCGAAAATTTTCAGCATTTATAACGATGTCGACTTAGTTCACATGTTTGACAGACGAGATCCAATCAGCTGTTAAATTATAGGATAAATTTGGAAAAAAAAATCTTCTTTGAGCTCCAAGATACAAGACTATTCACAAGATACACAAAAATAACCTGATATGGATCTCCTTATCATCAATATTACTCTTCTGGTCTGCATCTGCAAAGGAAATTAGACCAAGATGGTCTGGATACCAAGCCATGATTCAAAGTTTCATTCAAATATCTCAATAATCTCTTAACTGTAGTAAAATGTGTCTCACAACTCACATTGTGCATGTATGTATTGTGTTACCTCGTTCATAATGAAAACAATGTCCGACATGATATGAACATATAACGGTGCACTCATAATACTAGGATATTCTCAAGCATCGGCACCGGCAAGTGGACTTCCAGCGTTCTGAATCAACTTCAAAGAAGCAACCATTTGTGTAGGTGTTGAATTGGTTTGGTCCATCCTAATTTCCTTCAACAACTCCAATATATACTTACTTTAGTTCAAAATCAACATCTCTCCATATCTCTTCACCTGATACTAATCGAACAAAATTCAATTCTGAAAAACGTTCAACCTTTCCCAAGATGTCATCTTGGTCTGTTGTTATCTTTAAAGCTGGAAGTTCTGTTCTTAGAATGTGTCGAATAGAAGATCCGGAAAATAATCAAGTTTTTTTGTTTGTTTGATAATACAGTATAATTTTTGGGGAAGGAAATATCAGAGATTTCAACCTTTCAACTACTTCCGTTGGGCTGTAGGCAGGTTCTAGTTCAGGCTTATCTGTGTACTGGAAATTGAAAAAACAATAAATTTTAAGGAGCTGACCTCACCCTAATAATATTTCTGTTTTATTGTGTTATATTCGATGATAAATAATAAATTATATTTTTAATTTATTATTTTATATTTAATATAACTTACATTTGACTTTCAATATTTTAAACAAACCAATCATTTTAAGCAACATGAAGTCAACGCCATTAAGACTTGAAAGAATATATGAAGAAAACAAATACTATTGAGTAAATTGCTCTTATATCGACGTCAATACCGAATGTATGTATTCTGTAATTATATCCTGTATGTAAGGCAAAAAGTTGAACTATCTATAAACTTTTATCAAATACAAATGAACATCATCAATAATTGAGTCAAGGTTTCTTTGGAGTTTTTGTGAATAGCAAATTAGATGGAGAGAAAGTTTTACAATGCAGCTGTACAAGGCAACAAGAGTTGGTTGTTGAATTTGCTTCAAGAGGATGCGCTGCTTCTCGACAGATTCATCACCGGTCGTTACCCTGAAACCCCATTGCACGTTGCTTCCATGCTCGGGAATCTCGAATTCGTCGATGAAGTTCTTACTCGTAAGCCTGAGCTAGCCAAAGAAGTCGATTCTCAAAACTCATTGCCACTTCACTTAGCTACAGCAAAAGGGTACCTGCAAGTTGCGAAAAAGGTTACTGCAGGTTGATCCTAATATGTGTCTTGTAAGTGACATTGATGGGAGGAACCCTGCTCATATTGCAGCCATGAAAGGTCACCTTGATTTGTTGAAAGAGTTGGTTCATGGAAGACCCTGGGCAGCTTGTGTGCTGATGGAGCAAGGTGAGAGCATTTTACATGCGTGCGTGAGGTGCAACCAGTTGGAGGCGTTGAAGTTCTTGATGGAAAGAATTTCAGATCATGAGTTTGTGAATCGTCAAAACTATGACGGCAACAACATCATGCATATGGCTATAGCTACTAAACAAACAATGGTACGTGTGTACTCAGTACTGATCCCCATCCCCTGTTAGTTCCGCTTCAACCAAAGCAACTAGGTTAAGCAAAACATCGAATTTGACTATATTCTTGTTTTAGTCATTTTTTGAGTTTAAATCGGATGAATTTAAATTAAATTAGTTTTTGGAATTTATACTATAACTAATTGGTATAAACATACGCAGGTCATAAACTTTTTGATTTCTAGTACAACGATAGACGTGAATTGTGTGAATGAAGATGGCTTCACGGCACTTAATCTTTTATCACGAAACCAACGAGACGAGATCGATAAGGAGATTGTGGAATCACTTAAAAGGATGGGAGCTACACATGGACAAGATAAACCTTTGTCAAATTCTCAACTTAAGGCAATAAGGACTGTCGTCCACATGGACATGGGATCACCCAAACGCATCATCTAAATCCAAGAAAAGAAAAGATGGAAAAAGGTCAGTTAAAAATAAGAATTGCGATTGGCTAGAAAGAAAACGCAACATCATAATGCTAGTGGCTTCCCTGCTAGCTGCCATGGCATTCCAAGCAGGCGTCAACCCTCCTAGTGGCGTCTGGCAAGATAATGGCTCCAGTGGTTTTTCATTAACGGAATCAAACGGTAAAAATCACACGGCAGGGTTTTTTCTATTGGCAGATAATTATCCACGAATATATACCAGATTCATCGTATTCAATACAACGGCTTTCTTGGCGTCTCTCAGTATCATCCTGTTGCTTATAAGTGGGTTACCATTGCGGCGTCGGTTCTTTATGTGGGTTTTAATGGTCATCATGTGGGTCGCCATTACTGCAATGGCATTAGCGTATCAGGAATGTCTCATAGCATTAACACCTGATCATCAAAACTCTTTACTGATCACTATATTAGGAACTGCTACGCTGGTTTGGATCGGCTTGATGCTCATACTCTTCTTGGACACACGATTCGAGTCGTATTCAGATTGATTAAGTATCTCAGAAAATCTGTGATCAGATTGATGAATCCAAGCGCCACACGCCCTGTTTGAATTTAATGCATACAGTTTACTCACTCGTACCTTTAACTGAGTTAGCAGAACTGAGAACACTTCAGCTTTAGCTTTCGTCGTAAAATATAATGTTTAAGATCCAGCCTTAAAGGCAAAGTTTATGAATGGAAAAGTTGTGTGTTTTACTTGCCATGTATTTCATCCTTCATAAAACAATGATCAGAATGAAATTCAAAATACACCAAATTATCCTGAGCAAATTGTGACATTGAAACAAGATTCTTAGTAACATGCGACACACACAGCTTGTGTTCAAGTTTTTTTCTATTTTAAGCATATAGTGAAGTTTATCTTACATGTGAAACAGTAAGAGTAGAACCATTACCTATATAATAGACCTTACCCTTATCATTGTAATTCTAGCCTTTTGAAGATTCCTCTAATCATGTGTAACATGATGTGTAGCACACGAATCGGGATATCCCCTTGCATTTCTATCTAAAATCTCATTTGCTATCACCGAATGAATTTGAATTGAGTTGCTTTGTTTTTCTTGTGTAACATTTTCAGTTCCTGTAGAATGACGAACAAATGAATCATAAGCATACTTGAGTTATCTACTGCTTTCAAATAAGATAATTATTATCAATCAGTTGTATATTAATATATTATCTACTGCTTTCAAATAAGATAATTATTATCAGTCAATCGTATATTATATATAATCTAGAAAATCTGACTAGCAGTGTCATTGAAGACAGTGACGGATCTATACAATTTTTAAGGTATGCACTGGTCATCCTAAAATCTAAATTTTTTCAATTATCTATTTATTTTTATTAATTATATTCGCCCGAAAATTTTATTGATGATTCTATATAAAAAAAATATGTTATTAATATATATATCGTACTAAAAAAATTCTAAACCCACCGCTAATCAATGAGTATCATGGCTATAAACTCCTCTACACCAGCATATGAAGCAAACGACGTGGTATCCATATCAGGATCAATCATCAACCTGGCTGATTAACACAATCAAACAACAATCGCACTCAGATTAGAAAGCTCTGATATCATGTCTTAACGTCAATGGTGGCAAAAATACATGGAACGACGGAATGAATAAAGCATAAAATGTGAAGAAAATAGAAGCGTTTTTTATGGCTAGGATTTCAGTGGAAACCAAAATGTAAAACCGAATGAAAAAATGAATCTGACTTATCATTAATTGGGATTTCATTAGTTTTGATCAAAACCCACATTACATTATTTATATACTTTAGTTCAATTAACTATAATAACCCAACCCAAGTAACACCAACAACTAACAAATATTATATCTACCATGTTTATTTCTTTATTTATCAGTCAGTAACATATTTGTTGTTAGAGAAAATCGCCTCAGTGACCAAAAATGCCTTATAATATACGATTTTAACCAACTTTTTCCGGATTTGCCAAAATGACCAACAAAATCGCAATGCGATCGCTAATTCGCAACGCGATCTCCATTATCGCAAATTCGCGTTGTATTTCGCGTTGCGATAGTTGGAAATCGCGTTGCGATGGTCTACAGTGTCGTTGCGATTTTCCCAATTCGAAATGCGAATAAGTAAATTGCAACACGAATTGGGAAAATCGCAATGCGATACTGACTATCGCAATGCGATACTTACTATCGCAACGAGATACTGACTTTCGCAACGCGATTCTGACTTTCGCAACGCGATAATACATAATCGCAATGTGATTTTCAAAGCGCCATTAGTATCCTGGCCAAGTATTTTTTATTTTTAAATTCCAAACACGAATATTAATATATTGGAACACTGAACCGTCCACAGTATATCCCGTAATCGCAACTCATAACCTAAAACCTAAAATCACAACTCAGTCTCATCTCCATCTCTCACTCTCTCACCCATCTCCGACGAAATCCGTCCCCATCTCTCAGAGCCACCCTCACAATCAGAAATGGAAAATCAACCAAATCAACCAACGAGGGTTAGTTTTTTTAATTATTTTCTTTTTGAAATTTTTGCATTATTATTAGGTTTTTCATATTGAAATTGATGATAAGTTTACTGGTAATTTCAATAATAGATTAACCATTTCACTTAGATTGCTTATTAAATCAACCGAGAATCGC